TGTTTCGTATACTGTCTAGCTAAAGGAAGATCAGAGTAGAACTGACTCAACCTTTGTGCTGTTGGGAAGTTCAGTTATGGAAAATGCATTTATCTACTCCTTGTTTATGTCAGATCTGCATTTCTGTCAATGACTGTCCTTAAATTTCTCTTGAAACAAGTTGGCTTTTAAATGAGTACAGTGCACTCAGCCTTAGGTGACACTCTTGTACTGGAACATAGGTGGGTGATGGACTTTCTTATGATCAAATGAAAACCCATGGCAATGGGGCACTGAGCCATTGAAAACAGTAGTTTATTACTTGCTTACAACAGGTCTCAGTTTGCTCCGTAGAGCATGCAGAATCTCTGTGCTGGTGCTGTCAAATAGAATGAAAAAAACCCAACGTAAATGCTGACAGAATTATTTAGGCTTATTCATATTCAAATATGAAGCATCAGTGTAATTTGAGTATTTTTTTAGCATATTCTAATCTTTCTCATCTGTATAAGGTTAGAGTGAGTGTGTGGTTTCCTTAGGAAATTGTAGTCCAAAAGAATTCTGTCCAAGTTTCATGTTTTTAGGGGTGGGAATTAATGTTTTGCATCTGAGAGGAGGAAAAAGGTAAGCTTGTACCTGAGCTTAGGGCTCAGTTTTTCAGAAGAATGCATACGAGTGAAAAACTTGCAAAAAAACAAACCTTGAGAAAATGCAAAACCATTTTCACAATCTTCTGCATAGTTTGATTGAATTCTGTGTTATTCCAGAGTTGCCCAAGAACTGTGGTGCTTTTGAAATGGTGAAGAGAAATATGTAAGCCGTTTTTTGTTTGGTTGTATTGTTTTTACTGATTAGTATTAACTGAATGGAGAAGAAAGGAAATTGGCTTCTAGATATATATCCATTAAAGCTGTTCAAAAAAAAAAAAAAAAAAAAAAAAAAAAAAAAAAAAAAAAAAAAAAAAAAAAAAAAAAAGGATTTGGTAGTCTCTGGTACTGCTGGAAGACAGGATGTGTATCACTTGACAAAGTGAAGCTTAACTGAGAAATAGGAGAAATGGTCCAGTGGGCAGTCTGGGCCTCCAGAGGCCAAAGTTTTCTTGTTTAACCATAGAGTTCTTGTATGACTTTCTGGCAAGTCATTTAGTCTAGCTTGTGCCTTTGGGAGTATCCCATTTTGCAGATGGGGAGCTGTCTCAGAAGGATGTTGAAAATAAAATCCATTAATGACTGCAAAGCTGTATAAATGCCTTCAATATGCTGAAGCTTGGCCTTGGTTTCAACACGGGTTTTTTCCCCTAGAAGTATGTCTGGTTTTATGGATGGTTGCCTTTTGTTCCCTGAAACAGGCTACTAATAGGTTTTATTCATGCCTGCAGTTTTTTGATGATCTGTGCTGCTTTCCAGCAGTGATTGTACTCATCTCAGTATGCTGCCACATATGGATTACTGGAACAACATAGAAGTTGTTTAAAGTACCTTTATAATTAATCGTACTTGCACATGCTAAAACTGTATTCTAGCAAAAGTCACAGCAGTAGCAAGGGTCAGTAACAGGATGAAATGCTTTGGTGATCAAACATTTTGCTCCTTGATAGCTGTTGCATGTTTTGCTGCATGTGGAAAATGTGAAGTATATGTGCGAGGCGCAAATTTTGCAATGTATCTTGCTTGCAGGAAAGTTGCTTTTGTATCAGCTCCTCCATCCCATCCCTAGTTTGCGTCTTGCCTTGTTCTCTGTTCTCTTTTTGAACAGTCGTGTCTTTTTAGTTATCTTCTCATAGTGTTTCTCTGCATGTATACAAGCCTGGCTGCATTCAGAGGGAGTATTTTTGGTCAAGTAGAACGGTCAGAATCAGAATTGCCATGATAAGACTATTTCCATTGCATTCAAGGATGTCTGTTATATTCAGCTGAATTTGACCAGTTGTTCTGTTTCTGGTTACATATATCTAAGAGCATTTCACGTCATAACTTTCAGGGCACTTGGTGAAAAATACATGGAAACCTTAGATTTTGCTGTATGCATCTTTTCTTATTTATAAAATGACATTGCAGAGTCTAAGCGTAGTTTAATGTTCAGATTGAAAGGAAAGGCATGCATACTCTAGTAATCTGAGTATTTTGGAGGTACTTATACCATTATGTTTCTAGGCATTAAATTAGAATTTTTTAATGAAAAATTAAGGTGAAATCAACCGGGTTTTTTTTCTCCATTTGCCTTGATAAGTGAAAGACCTCAGATAAAACAAAGGATTCTTATCAGTTTAGGGGATTCTGCTTTTGTTGGGGTGTTCTTTTTGCATGTAAGGTCAGCTGAGACAGCTGAGCTGCTGGCTTCTGGCATAAGTACTAATTCGTGTGACTGATGAGATAGCATAGGTACTCACTGAAATGAAATGTGGGTATTTTATAAATATAAAGATAAGAATGTCCATTTCATTCTTATTGATATTAGACTATTTTAAGACTAAAACGCTCTTTGTAAAAGAGACTCCGTTTTATAAATAGTTCATTTTGCTTAAAGCATCAGCAAAATTTCCAATTCGAAATCAGTAAGCATCATTTCTAATAAAATGTAAATGGAAACAGTCCGCTTGATGGGTAATGGAAACTTGGTTTCAGTGCTCCAGTCTTTTCCCTGAGTTGCTTCCAATGCTGTTTGTTATTAAGTGGGCAGAAGAGAGATTTTGTGGTGGTGGTCACTAACTCCTCCAGATGCCTGATTCTTCTGGGGATGGTGTTGGAGTTTTGTGTATGTGCATGCATGCTGAGATTTGAACTGCATAAAGTATTTTACTGAAAACTTAACAAACAGCATATAGCGCTGATACAAACAGAGCATTAGACATATCTGTCTTTAATACAGCCATCTGTCGAGTGCTACAGCAGTTTTTCAAAAGCCTCCCTCAGCATAGACATCAAAGTCTATTCATCCACCTGTGCCTCTGATCTTCTAATATTTTTCTTATTTAAAAATAGCAAAGGGAGAGGAACAGTCTTTCAAGATCAACAGCTTTATTAAAGAAAAAAAAAAATCCAAAAAAGCCCTGAAACCTCCCCCACAGAACTCATGCAGCCAATTCAGAAATTGTTAAAAATGTCTTTACTTGAATATTCAACACTATTATTTATAAAAAAATCACTCAACCACGCTTTCATTTTCTTCTCCTCTGAGCAACCCCTGGCCTTGCTAACACCTATTTCCTGCCTCATCTATTTACAATACAGCTGCTGAGATCATTTTCTTGATCTGCTGGTCCGATGACATCAGCCGGACCTGTGAACTCCTCTACCGGCTCACTCTTGAAGGACAGAGAAGCATTTCTGTGAGAAGCTGGTCAGTGGAAGGAGGAGCTTGCATTACCCTGATGCATTCAGCAGTCATTGCCAAAAAAAGGGGAGAAAGCTGAGGTGCCCCTTTTGTAAAGGGAAACCTAGACACAAAAAACATGGCCCCATGAAGCTGCCCAGTGAACGTAGGCTGGCAAAGCCTGGCATAGCTCAGATGTTCTGCTGCCTCCTTCTTTTCCTCATTTACTTGCTAATTTGCCAAGACCAATCGATTGGTCTCCTAAGTTGTTAGTGTGAATCGGTGATCTCCTGGTTATCACCTCATGCTGCCCTAGGGCTGTGCCCTGATGTCACTCTGGACTTAGGAGGGGGGCACTCAGTGTTGTTTGCTCACATGGGGAAAAAAAGACCACCTTCCCCTGCTGTAGCAGAGCAGGGGGCAGGCACAGGAGGAAGAGGAAGGCTGTGATAAGGTGGGAGGGAGGTTGCCTGTTCCCAGCCCCAAGCTCTATGTGCGGTTGCCTCAGAGTAGCAGAAGCATCAGGCAAGTCTGGGGTTTTTTGTCATGGAGAGCAGAGCATATATCCTGGCCAGGGGGGCATGGCCCTTGCCTAGCACCATCCTCAGGAGGTGCCTGATGGCCATGGCTGGGGCTGCCCTTGTGCTTCCTTGACTACCCGCTCCAGGATGAAGTGGTGAGACACAGGACATGACCTGACAGACCAGGCCCCTTGAGGCACCCTGGCAGCAGGCACACAAATTTTATCTGTGTGCTTTTCTTACTAAAATAGGTTGAAAATATCGTATTAGAGGAAGTCACTCAGTCTCTGAAATGGCGTGACAACTGCTATGTGACAGCTATTGATTACATAATGTTTTAGTTACCGTTTAATTTTTGAGAGATAGGTGGTGGCAAAAATTCTTTTTAATATGTGGCGCAACATTAAGATACTCAAATCCAACCATATTTAGAATTGCTGATGAAACGTGGTGAAATACAGGAAGACTTGTAATGAGCTCTTCATTGCAGTGCTTAAAAGTTACAGGAACTTATTCTCACAGCACACGAAATCTTGGAAATATGGTAGTTTAATACTGGGCACCCGTATTTCATGCAGAGTGCAACTGATCTCCACAAGAGCAAAGGCTCCTTAAAATCTACTGGAATGATGCCGAAATAAACAAATTTTGTGTTTCAGAAAAGGAGGATAAAGCATGTATTTCTTTTTCCCAGTGGGGATACAAAGAGAGTATTATAAACACGTGTTAACCGGCCCTACAAGCTGTGTGTGTTCATTTGCCCCATTCTGTGACCAGAGCTGATCTGTCTTGCTGAGATCTGAATAGGTCACAGTGTTGTTTTCCACATTGGCATAGCTGGGTTCAGTATAAATTACAGTAAAAGTTACTCAGTTGTAGCATTTTTTTTAACTTTCTTCCTTGTCTCCTTGCAAACAGTGGTGTAAATGTATGGCAGAACAGTGCTTCAAATATTCGATACATAAAATTCACTGATATCCAACTTTCCGAGTGTGACACTTTTACTCCAGTGAAGATACAGGGTCCCCAACACCTCTCTGCAAAAGGAGGCTCTATTGGTAGTCAGTGTGTCCTGCCTACACCTTGGCTTTGTGATGTTTGGAAACTTTTTGTTTCCTGCATGTGCAATCACTTGCTTTGGGAGCCATTCTAAGGTGTTTTTTTTTCTAATTCTTTTCTTGATTACAGATTGACTTGGAGCCAGAAGGGAGAGTGTATGTCATCATAGACCTTTCAGGATCATCAGGTGAAGGTAGGGACTTTCAATATTTTGTCTTATTCTTTCATGAATCGAATCTTCTCGGGGTCTCTGTAATAGAAGTGTTAGAGGAGGTGTGTGCTGATATGTTCTTAAATCTGTATGAAGTCAAGTTAAAATGAACACACTCTGATGTATCTGCCTGAGAGTCAATAAGCAAGTTGTAGTTTTGTCTTATTCTGTTAATCCCTAATGGTAATAATACCTGCTAAAAGGCCAGTAAAGAACTGACAGTAGTTTAGTAGGATTAATTTCCAGAGAAACTTCCAGAATATTTTTTTTTTTTGAAGACTGCTAACCATTATGTAGGTAGAAATGACAAGATGTCAAAGTTGAGGAGCTAGAGTTTATTTGCTTTTTAAATTATTATAGTATTTGGTACTTTTCCACTAAATATTTTCTTTTTCAAGTAAAGGAATGACCAAAATGTTGTAATTTTAAGAGATGTTTTCATTTTTATGACACAGCAGTTACATGTTTGAAAAAACCCCAAATATAGAAGAGAAGAATTTATTAAATTCTTAAGGAAAAAATCTAAAGATAATTTTCTGTGGTTAACTTTGAACAGAGTCAAATGATATAGGGTGGGAATAAGATAATTTATGAAGAGGCAAATCTGTGTATTTTAGTCATGCACTTGATGACAGCCTGATCTGCTGAAATGGCCTAGATGATTAGTTTGGGTTTGATTATTTTAGTTTATGTCCACTGATAGCTTCTCTCAGGAGCTCATAGAACTCAGCTAAACGAGGTTATTGTTGGTTCACAGTACATAAGGAAGATTCACAGAAACCCTGACAGAACCTGAAACTGAAAATGCTATGAAATGAAATTATTTTGCCTGGCACAGTTGAGAAACAGCAGAACAGCATGTTTATCTTTCTGTTCTCTGTAATGAATTGCTGCACTCTGACCAATTACTATCAGTAGCTTACAAAAACACATATTGCTATAAATCCTGAATTTTAAAAATGAAGGAAACTATTATTTAAACTTTATCTTATAGCCACATTTTGTACTCATGTAAGATATGCTCTGCCTTTTTTCTTCCTGCATATTGAAGAAAATCTCAGTTAAATGCTAGTTTCTACATATCTTTCTAACTGGCCTGACAATGATCAACTGAAATGTGGTTAAAGGCATTGATGTCATCGGGCAGGTAGATGTTCTTCCAACCATCCACTGATAGGTAATTGATACCCAGATGAGCATACTGTTAGTATTTCATCACAGGATGCATTCAGGTGTGTCAGACCTTCAACAGGCAGGAAGAACTGTGTTATGTTGTTCTTCAAAAGTTGTTTAGAACTCTCTTTTATACAAGAAAATAAAAAGTGACTGTGGTAATGACTCCTTTATTATGTGGTGCATTACCCTGTGACACTTAAAGGGGATTGGAAAGAAATTTGCAGAACTAGAATTTGTGCCACTACATTAGTGTTGAAGGGGAGCACTCAAATGGAAATTGGCCAACAAGGGAGGAAAAACAGCTTATGAAACGTTGTCTCTTGGGAAGCCCTTAGGAAGACCAAGAGGCTTTAGTTGGGGTGAATTTGGTAGAACTCTGGAGAAGTTGGTGCTTACGAAGTGCAATAGAACCTATATACGTTTAGAGCTTTCCGTGCAATTAAATAACTGTGGAAAAGTGTTGTGAAGAAGTATTGCAAAATTCTCTAGGAAAGTTACAGTTTTCCTCACAAGGGAAATTGGACCAGGTTTGTACAACAGTTTGTAAACCGGTTTTGTGGTGGTTTGTTATGTGATGTTACGAAATCCTGGTTTTGGACTCCTTTGTTAGGACCATGGCCTAGCTAATTTTGGATATTCAACCCTCTTAGTGAAGCACCTAGTGTAACATAACAACTGTGTGGATCCTTATGTAGTGAATAAAAACACCTAAACCACATGAGAGGTAGTTTTATTCTATGTTTCAAAAATGCCTCTTTCATTTTATGTATATGTACACATATACATCTGTATGTATGTAAGGAGAATACATCTGATATGTATTTTATGAATTCCAGTGGGTAAGTTCACAATACTTGATCTGTATTTCTTGAATATAAAAGGAACATAAGATCAAGGTTATACTAAGTACATCACTTTGGGTGGTCAGGGTTGGTTGAGGTGATTGCCACTCTTGACCTAATTTGTTAACCAGGATCTTGTTTTTGAACTCCGGTCTTCACTGTGAATAGTGACAGAGTGCACAGCAAATGGGTATCACTATTTCACCTGGAATTCAGGAGGGGGAAAAAAAAAGGCAATTTATGAAAATAAAAATACCTGTAGCAACAATTTTGACTGGAGGAAGCAGTCAAGTTGCATGTTTCTCAGTTATCAGTATTTTTTAAAAAAGAGTAAAACATTTAAGCTGTTGCAATGTAGTATATACTCACCAACCACTATTGTCTTGTAATGCTGTGTGCTGAAAACTAGACTTATTTCTTATAGGTGATATAAGCAGGTCTCTAGTTATCAGCAGTCAGTAATGTAATTTCAGTTATTTGGCACTTCTAAAAGATATTTTAAGGCAGATATCCAAATTCTGTTTTGGTATAATTGACTTAGGATTACTTGAATCCATGGACAGAGAGCATTGTTACACTGCCTCTAAGAGGCAAAAGTCCTGATTTTCCAAATGAGCCCTTGTGTGAGTAAATCGGTATATAAATTGAAAGTAAACTTATGTTACTACCATATACCTCTTAAAATTCAATTTTTCCTTAGTCCCAGCTGCTGAATTGCTTATCCCTTTGCACTCTTTGCATTTGCATGGCACAACGATGAACACAGTTCATTGTTATAAGTCAGTGTTCTCAACAAAAGTATACAATTTGTCTTCCTCCTCCCCTCCTTGTCTAAGCTGAATCACTCATGGACTGTACAACTAAGCCACCTTTGTGGCTTAGTTGTACAGAACAAATGGAAATATGGCAGGTTACAAAGGGAGGTAAAGAGTATTTCTGCCTCTCCCTAGGGAGAGACAGGCCTTTTGAAAGCCAACCTTATGTATCAATATCAGCATCTAGCAGATATTTTCTATGTGGAACTGTAGAAAAAACAGTAGAGTTGCTGTCTTTGCTACTTGCAATTTTTTTCCCATTCTAAAGCCGAGCTACAAAATCCATGGGAGGTTATAGAGCTGTGTCAGCTTCTCTGCCCCTCTATATGGTGAAATTGCTTTCAGAAGCCACTTGAAGGGGAAGTTCTACTTCCCCAGCAGTAAACAGTGCAATTTTTAGGAGGCAACCTGGAAAGCCCAAGGCTTTTAGACTGCTCTCCACTGCATGTCTTGCAGCCCAGCCATCTCATCCGAATGGATTGTTCAAACCTCAGGGAATTTGGATTTGTTCTGAATACGTACTTTTCTAGAACTTGTTCCATTCAATTCCAGTCCAGTTTTTGCACTAATGCTGTTTTGAAGCCTTCTTATAGCTTCTGAATGTTTGTGTTGCACTGAGAGGGATGGTGAGTAATTATTTATTCTGGCAATCTTTTGTAAATTCTGTAGTAGGAACTGTCTGGCCCACATACTGAAAAGAAAATGCTAAATAAACTGTCACACAGAAGGTGATGTTCTCCAAAGTCAGGATTTAATTTTTTTTCTGCTAAAATTTGAAGATTCCCATATTGTGCTTCAAAATCAGTTCTGCAAAATACTGTAGTGTGCACTGGTGATGTGTCAACATAGGAAGAGGGTGAGAAAACACCTTTTTAAAATACAGGTTTTTAATTCTCCTTTTTGAACTATGGAACCACTATTTCTTTAACACCTCTGAATCACCTCTTTACACTTGCCTTGCCAAAGTTGAAATGTGGAGTTATTTACCTTCTGTAGATTTACTGTATTTGAAAGGACTTTGTTCATTCAGAGTAAATCCATATTTGTTTCCCATGAATGGAAGCAGCTGTATCAGTGAAAACTTCCCAAATGTAGATATGCACTAAAGTATCCATTCACAACCTAAAATAACTGCAACACTTAATCGTTAAAGTTCTATTTATAGATTTTTTTTTGAAATAATTCTAATACTTCTGTTGGATTTTTTAAGTGCTGACAAACAGTAAGTGCCCACTCAGAACGTTAAGGGGTATTTCACAAGCAAATCCCTTTGGTCAAACAAACAAATGTGGCTTCTCTGAACCTGGCACAGCAACCAATGGCGTGAGTTGGAATTTTTTACATAATTCTTTGAGCCATTGTACTGTGCCATATGCAAGCACATAACATCTTCAAGAATAAGCATTTCTGACAGCTTGCTTCTGGGAGACTAAATCAAAATGTGGGTGGCTGCTGTTGTTGTTACTTAATAGTTTTTCAGTCTTGCAAAGCATGTAATCAGTCACTCTCACTCCTGCTATTAACCAAACGTCTAGTGACTCCACATTATATATACAGTTATAAGAAAAATAAAGTTTATAGCAGACTCATGTTTGTAACAAGGAATTCGCTTGGGAAAGATCCATCCTATTTATTCTCTGTTACTTTGCAAATTGGATCTAATCGTTGCACAGGTTCTAGTCTTGTATCTTGAACTTCTGCCTGGGCTATGTGGAAGGCTGTGTCTGTGTATCAGTCTGTCAGTGAACAGGGGAATCTGTAAGACATTCTGTTACTCATTTCTTCAGTGCTGCTTCTTGTCCAAGGTCATATTGATTGGCTGTATTAATTCAGTGTTGCTGTAGCACATCCGTTATTTCTAGACTGAAGTGCACTCATTGACTGTTTTATTGACATGCTTGGAAGTGTCTTTTCATCTATTTTTTCTTTTTCTTTTTTTTTTTTTTTTCCTTTAGTGCTTATAGAGTTCTGTGAGCAAAATTTTTTTAATTAGTTGAGAAATACTCAAGAGCTCCAGTGTAGCTAATCAAGATCCAAATGCAGGCTGAAAGTTTAAAACATATCTGATACAATGACACAATGATTCAGTTCATGAACTGGAATAACAGATGGCCAGCAAGTGGGTGAGAGAGGTAAATTGCCTGAGGAA